ATGATATTCTTGTCCAGAGATGGGAAACTGCAGATGGAAAAGTGACGACCTGGCAAACAGTTATACCGAGAAAGTTACAGGAAGTTATGCTGCGTCAATCCCATGATAGTTTAACAGGAGGACATCTTGGAGTTAAGAAGACCTTGAGTCACCTACGGCAGAGATTTTACAGTATAGGTATGAGGCAAGATGTGGAAGAATGGTGCAGGACCTGCAGTACATGTTGTGCTAAAAGGGGACTGAAGCATAAGGGACTTGCTCCAATGAAATTATATCAAGTTGGCACAACAATGGAAAGAGTAGTCACGAAAGAGTAGCCTGAAAATGTGCCAGAGTTCGTGAAAGTGTTATCTGAAAGGATGGATGATATTCATCATCAAGTGCGTTCAAACTTGAAAACGTCTGCTGATTCGTTGTTGACTATACACTTGTATATAATACCTTAAATCTAATCCATAACGTGTTGTATCATGGATCTTCCATTTACACTCCTCTTTCAGGATGAAAAAAACCCATCGATCTGGAACATTTTTATAAGTTTTTACGATGTTCTATGTAAACAGTATGAATAAGGGGCTTATAATGCTAAAATTCGTGGTTCAATACCTTCCATCGACTCTGTGCAGGTAACTCATATTTGTAATTTTGCGCTTAATAACAAATAAACAAATCATAGCAGCACCACCAAAGTTTTTTTTTGTGGAAGAAAATTTATATGCAAGTAGTCTCAACTCTATAAACAGACCTGGCATGGTCTGGTGGTTAGGGCAATTTGCGACTCACGGTTTCCAATCCCCTCACCAAAGATACTTGCCAATTCAGCTGTGTGAATGTTATAATATGGTGGTCAATCCCAATATTCGATTAGAGTAACCCAAGAGTTGGCGGGGGATGATGTTGACTAGCTCCCATCTCTCTAGTCTATCACTTCTAAACTGGGGACGGGTAGCCCTTGAATAGATTTGCCAGAAATACAACAAACTAACAAAATAAACTATATTAACATTAAGATACCGCTGACGAGCAGTACTTAACCCATCAACTACAACAGAAGTTAAGTCATTCTAGGAGGCAACATTGTGCAAGCGTAGCTTAATAATGTTGTGTTTCACTTTCGAGTCCACGTTGTGTGGATTAGTCTACAAGATCGTTCACTTTTACAATAGGTAACTAACTTATATGTTAATATAAGTAGAAATACAAAATTAGCTCTTAGAACCCAAGATATATTTTTAATTTTAAAGCTCTTTATTTCAGTAACGACTCAACTGAAAAATTTAACGTTTATGTTTTTTTATTCGACTATATTTGTCGTAAAACTGTGAAGCTTATAACTGAAGTTTACTTAAACTTTAAAAATAGGAAACTGAGATTGTTTAGTATAAAAAAAAGTTCATAGTTAAAGATTTTTAAAAAGTTTATTTTCATATGTTTAAATGTGTTTAAACAGTTTTGTTTGTTCTTCGAATTTTCATTTCTCCAACAGGACAAACTTCTAGTGAAACTGGAAGGGCATGAACCAGAAATGGCCAAATCACGTGAGGAAGAGGTGAGAAAACTTATTAGCTTAAGATAGAAATAGTTTCCTTCTGATATTACTTGAACGGTTGAATTCAGTTTAAAATGTAAAAACGCCATCTACGGTAACATGTTTCACTAATCGATGTTAAAACGTCGTGGATGTATGTTAATGACAACCACTTTATTAATGGGGATAAATTAAAGAGAAAACCACATTTTTGGAACAATATATATATACATCTTATCCAAACTATTTGTACAATTATAATAGTTTCGACACTTTCACTATACATAAAAAAGCATTGTTGGGATTTTTCCTTTTTGAATGCCCTTTTTATCCATTTTTCTCAGTTTTTACAAGAGAATGTATTGTAAGTTTTCCTTACCGTCATTAAAGGAAATATTTAATTACCCCGAATTATTCCTTGGTGATTAGTTAAAATATTGAAAATTTTGATATAGATGAAGCACTAGTGTCAAACAATGTTTTCCCCTGAGGTTTTAAAAGGGGTCAAATATCAGATATGCCAACTTCTCTTTTTCATTGTTAGTAGGTGATCAGAGAGTGAACATATGCCCGAGGTTTAGATAATTAGTAATGACACTCCTATTTGTAAAGAGCGTGATAAAAGTTGCCCTGAAAATTTTACTTCTGTAATGGACAGAATTCTACAAATTTTTGACAAAAGCAGCTTGACAAAATCATCTATTGAGACATTGTATCGTAAAAGAAAGCCAACACAGATTCACCAAAGACATCTTACTTACTAATCTGTTATCTTTTTTTCGAGAATGTTACTTATTATCTTGGTGTACTTAGATTTTCAAAAAAGCTTTTGATAAAATACCACACAAAAGATTAGCTAAGAAAAACACATCAGTGGGGGGGGGGGGAGATTAGTCTCTTGGACAATAGGGGGAGCAAACAAAGTGTTGTTGTCAATAGTGTCCATTCAAACTTGACCCTTGTCGCTAGTGGAATAAATCATAGGTCATTGTTTAGGCCTTTGCGTTTTCTTATTTAAATTAATAATACTTTCAAACAACGTATTTTTCTAAACTCCTGTATACCAAGGAGACAGGTATTACCATAAACTTATTTCCTCTTAACTGATTTTGTTTTTTGTACACTCAGTCAACTATTTGTCGGTTTCTCGCTACTGATGCCAAATCGTGTCGTTGACTTTCTTATTGTATGTCACCAAATGTCTCCTGTACTCCCGTCTCAGAGCACAGATATCCCATTGTGTAGCTTTGTGCTTAATTACAAACAAACCTAAAAACATATTTTGCACTGTTATTTATTGTTGCGAAAAAAATGTGGTTTTTGATCATCGATCAATTGTCACTAGCAAATTATATAAAATTCTAAGCTGCCGAAATTACAATAATTCTACTCATTTTGTGACACGTTCTATAAAAATACTTTCACGTATCTTGGTTGTTCCACTAGTTTTTATGAGGTTGCAACTAAGGCGCAAAAATTCATTAAAAATAGGCTTACATATCGTGCATCTTGTTTCTTGATATTATTATTTTTTATTTTGTTTTAGTGCAAAGCTAAACCATGGCAGTTTTCACTGCGATCGGATTTTAGCATGATAATTCTTAAATTTACATCCGAGTCACTGGGTGTTTGTGTGTATAAAATGTTTAAATGTAAAAAGAAAAAACGACCCTTAGTGGCACATTGGTAAGTCTTCGGACTTACAACACTAGAAACCGGGTTTCGATACCCGTGGTAGGCAGAGCATAGATAGCCCATTGTGTAACTTTGTGCTTAATTACAAACAAAAATGTAAAAAATAATAATAATACGCCTAGATCTTTGAAGTCGCAAAATCGCGGCTACAGCACCAGCACACTCTCACCACAGACCTGTCATTCAGTAACAAAAACGCCCTCTTGACGCCGAAATTCTGATGCTGAATAATAACTACAAATAATGAAGGAAATTTAAATTATGCAGAATAATCTTACATGTTGAAATAAATCATCAAGTAGTGAAATAAAAAGTACGTATTTCCATCGAAATCAAACAAAATTCACTTGATAAGTTATCTCACCAAGTATTACTTTTAAAATGCAAATCTGTGAAAACAATAGCTGCTGATAAGTTAATCTTCTCCAATTTAGCTTAATACTGAATGTTTTTAAAACTCTAAGGAGACATAAATTAAAATTTTACGGTGATATATTTACTTTGGAAGTTTTCGGAAAATCTTCAGTTAAAAGTTGAGATCTGTCAGAACACATAATAAACTACTTGAGAAGATTACGTTAATCTTTTGTTTTTTTAACTAAATTTCTGAAATATATCGAAATACTTTCAAATTTTTTTTAGAAACTACTATGGTTTGATTAACTTTGCCCAGCTATCAGCCATTCAAAGGCCTTAATGAAAAGACAGACGAGATGTTGTTTTTTATTAAAGTGAAACGCTAACGGTCACATATTCTAAGCCTTGCAATTCTCTTTGTATTTCAGGTTCCTTCCATTTTTTATTTTTAACCTACAAAGACAGGTACGTTGCTTTAGAAGTCGCTTCAGTTAAAGATCAAATTTCTGCGTTCGTGACTGAGTAAGCGCCAAAACTAAACAAACGCACTTGGCCTTTAACACACACTACAGCGAAACAGATCAGAAAATACTGAAAAACTCTTCTGTAACGGGTTTACATAGATAAGATGTAAACATAGAAATCTGGCAAAACCAATGAAAATCGCAACAGTTTTTATTTCTGAAATTAACGCGAAATGACCACTAATACAACAGCATCCTTTTCTATAATATATACAAATTGCTTATACAAAAAACTGAAGGCCAGAGATAATGTAGACATCTGTATCGGTCTATAGTTTATATCATGTTTACATTATCTCTGGCCTTCACTGTATCGGTCTATAGTTTAGATCATGTCTACATTATCTCTGGCCTTCACTGTATCGGTCTATAGTTTAGATCATGTCTACATTATCTCTGGCCTTCACTGTATCGGTCTATAGTTTAGATTAAAATCATTCGAAACGAAGCCTCTTCGCAGAGGTTTCGAATTAATTTCTGTGCAGTCTGTTCTGCATAAGAGTCGGTAGAAATAGTGAATGAAAAATGGTTGATCCACTGTCCTATAACTTTCAAAATTACGAAATTGTTTTAAGCTGAAAATATTGTTAGCATATGATAAAATATTGGTAATTAAAACACACCTAAAGATCGAGAAATAACTTTTGAAGAGCTAATAATGTCTTATTTTATTAATTCACGAATAATCAAAAATGCTTGCAAAAAAAAAAGACACAAACATTAATGCTTACCAATAACTGCTTAAATCAAATGTTTCGGCCCGGCATGGCCAGGTGGTTAGGGCGCTCGACTCGCAATCCGAGGGTCGCGGGTTCGAATCCCCGTCGCACCAAACATGCTCGCCCTTTCAGCCGTGGGGGCGTTATAATGTAACGGTCAATCCCACTATTCGTTGGTAAAAGAGCAGCCCAAGAGTTGGCGGTGGGTGGTGATGACTAGCCGCCTTCCCTCTAGTCTTACACTGCTAAATTAGGGACGGCTAGCGCAGATAGCCCTCGTGTAGCTTTGCGCGAAATTCAAAAACAAAACAAACAATCAAAAGTTCAGTTAATGTTTAAATGTTAAGAATCAAAGTTTTAATCTTCTAGTTAATGTTTATACGTTTATGAACCTAAGATATTAGTAAACACAGGTAAGTATGGCGCACTCACTAGAAACAGGTATGTAAAAATAGTATAATCAGTATATATGAATGTTGGAAGATATATATCAAAAAGTATATACCCGCTTTTACAAACACAAAAAAAAATGTTTCTCGTTTTCGTGTATGTTTTGTTTGTTTGTTTAACGTTTTAATTTTATTATTTGGATTTTCAGTGTGCCATCTGCATCAGTGCCAGAGCGTCCATGCAGACTTTTCCATGCGGCCACAGAGTTGTCTGTAGAAAATGTTTTGTAAAGACAATTCAGATTGTTGTGACCCAGAGAATTCTGCCACTTCGGTGTGTCGTATGTCGAGCTCGAGTTCTCCACATTAAACAGATACTTTCTGGTGGAATTACAGAACCCACCGCCCGTAGAGTTTCAGTGTTGACAAATTACAGAGAACCACACCATAGTGTCCAAGATACATTATTAGCTGATGCTCTAGCAGGATCTCAGTGTTTCCTCCCACATAGCATTAATGACGTGGCTTTGAAATCGAAGCAACTTCAAGGGTGTGAAATACAAGTTTGCTATCTCGCAGCTATCTCAATGTAGTAACAACAATTTAAAAGATGCATTTTCAGTACAAGAAAGTTCACGATCCACTACTGGTCACCATCAGTCTCTGAAAATTTTGAAAACTGATCCAGAGGAGAGTAAGATCCAATGGGGGGAGCCCAGGTCAAAGAATGCTGTGAGCAAGCATGCGCCAAAATACCGCCGACGTCATCAGGTTCACGTTAGTACACCGGCACAGCTGTGTCCTATCGAAGAACATGAAGAACAAGAAACTATAGAAGTCAGTAATCAAATAAACAATCTTGACATTCTAGATGACGTATCAGAGACATGTTCTCTAATCGCGCAAGAGAAACTTTCAGCACCTTGTAAAACGTCAGCGTTTTGGCAACTTCGGAGCAAATGTTCTCTAGAAGTCTAAGAATCCACGTCAAAATAAATCGTATGAAGTCTTTATTTAACGTCTTCACCTTGATTATAAAATAATCAGTGATAGATAACGCTAGATTCATTTAAAAAATTATTTGTATATCTACTTAAGGCCTACAGTTCTCTTGCATAAATAAACTACAATGGTTTAGGTCTTATTGGTCTTCAATGTCAAAAATATAAATTGTAGAAAATACTTTCACAACTTTAAGCTTATAACAAATACATTTCTGGAAGTATTTAGTCGCTTGGTAATTCAAAACTTTAAGTTTATAATAAAATATACAAGCAAAAGTACCCGTCCCCAGTGACCGGAAAAGTTTAAGTTAATCTAGCAAAAGTACCCGTCCCCAGTGATGGGAAAAGTTTAAATTTGTCTATCAATTTAAATTATTTCATGGACTTTAAAAAGGTTAATTGTGTTCCACTCTTGGTTTCACTCGGAGCCAAAGCTCTGAGCTACGTATATCACCCACCGCAAAAAGTAATTGTTGAGCATTTCAGTCATGCTAAGAGCTGCTCAAGCATAACATACAGTAAATCTACATTTTTATTCTTTAAGTTACGTCACATTTTGAAATGTGAATGATAGTGGGATTAATTCCTACCAATTTAGTGTAGAATATCCTGCTTGTGAAATAAAATTTGGCATCAACATTATTCATGCCTGTTTTCCCGTAATTTCAAAGGTGAATGTTGAGCTTGGCCTGCGTGCACAGCTTTTCAAACAGG